TTTCACAAGCAATTACATAAGTCTAGGGTAACTTAAGTTGGGCGGTTATTTCGTCCTCGAAGCTGTGCAGTCTCAAAGTTATGCATTGTTTTGCATCATTGTTTGACAATTAATAGTGGTTTGCCAAACATAACATAGTAAAAGGAAAAATGTAATTACATGAGATATCCCAGAGTGTGATGAATATTTATCAGTTCATATTTACCTGAGGGGGTTGTTCGGTGAAAATGTTATCCAGAATAGTTCAAGAGCACTAACCTACCTGGTTATAAAGAGTTAACAGTAGTTGGAAAAGAATTGCTATAACCGAATGCTTTGTGAACACAGACTATTCTGTCTCAAAAACCTCCTCATTTAAACTCATTGATGAATTGAAAAGGAACTCCCAAATGGTCCTGTCTTCGAGTTCCCTGCTTCCTCCGAGATCGTGCCATCCATTTGACAAAACCTGAGCTTCATTTGTGGTGATAATTGTCCAACCTCTCTCTGTCTTATGGCATGTATTTTTTTAAAATCAGTTCTTTCTTTGTGTACTCTCCACTTACCATTCACTCCTGCCCCTATACCGTTTCCGAAAACATTTGAATTTCCACATACTTTGTCGTGTCATAAAACTTCCTGTCCAAATTTAGTAATCTTTAGGCAATTTTAGACACATTTTCAATAATTGTTACCATTCATCAGAATTTTTGGTCATACTAACAGTCCACGTATTACTATTTCGCTAACATATTTGACAAACCTCTGTTGACTATCAAACAATAATACAAAAAATGCATAGCTTTGGAAATGTACAACTTCGAGAATGGAATGACTGAAAAGAAAGTCTTTATTGAAATAATTATTCTTCTTTCTTCTTGTCCTGATGGGTATCTTCCACACATCCAAAGACGCTGACTCAACTTTCGTTTGAATTTAATTCTTATGCGAATGGCAGTGTTGGAAGTTCTTTGTATACATAAATATATTTGTTCTGTTTGAAGTTTCGGACACTTATTGGAAATGTTACTCACGAAATACACTATAACCCAATGTCATTTCATTATTTTTATTATAGAATGGACACTCATGAAAGTAAGAGTTAATACAGAAGCGTATACTTGTTGATTACTTGCAGTATATGGTCCATTTGTTTCAACTAACAGTTTGAATGATGTACGAACAAGATGACAGAATTTCAAAATAAATGTAAGCTGGTGTGTATCAGTGATTCATTCGTTGCTGTATGGAATGATATAAGAGATTTAAAAATCAAGATTAGCTTGGTAAACACGAATTGGTCTACCATGAAAAGATACCTTTTATTATCACACTGGAGAATTAATTGGTAGTTGAGATTATAAGATTTGATCAATTTCTAGCTACTCTGATAAGATATGAGCAGTCACTTTACTGGGATGTAATTTTAAGGTGGATTTTGCAGACATTTTTGGAATCTTAATATCAACAACTGATTTCACTCGTGAATAAAGAGATGTTGAGGATTTTGTTTTGATAAGTACTCTGCCATCTGGACAATGAGTAAATTTAAAAGTCATCTTAACAGTTATTTGTTGCAGTCTGAATAACTAGTAAGAACTTACACCTCTGTGATTCTTCTTCACTGAAAGGAGAACGTGATGAGGCCGCTTACGTGCTAGTATACGAAATCAGTTCTTGAAACATTTATTAGGACTATAACAAGTTACTGCTAGTGTCCCATTTGAAGGCACCTAAGAAGGGAGAGATAATTTTTTTAGACGCATTTTGCATACACTGTAAAAAGATCCTCACAGTCTTTCAGACGTAAGGTTTGACTAATATTGTGTCCAAAACCCTAAGGTCTATACTTATTCGACGCCAAACTGAATCCAAGGAAGAGAAAACTCGAGAAGACAGGGTGGCTTGCAGATCTGCCCGAGGGTGCACCCGTCAAATTTTCACCCACCAATATGTCCTGGAATACAAACATTCTGACAGGCCTATGGCCGACACTTGCCATATCTCTTGACTCGAAGATGGCGTTTGACTTTGTCGACCATGAGGTGTAGTTGCAGCGTCAAACTGTGGAAAGAGTATCAAGCAAGTATATAACACTTATCAAAGCTCTCTCCTCCAATTCATATGGCTGTGTAAGGGTGGATTATGTACAGTTGTCACCAGAATTGACGGCAACTAGTGGCGTTTGCCACGGATGCCCACTATCACCGTTCCTATTTAAATTACTTGTAGATTTACTACTGAACACAATTATAGGTATATCTGACTTAGTAGCGACCGATTTACACCCTACAGGTCATCTGGTCTAGTTGGAGTATGCAGATGATACTGTCCTGCTAGTTGAAGACAGTGATAAAATTGAGGATTTTCTGAATGCGTTGAGCAGAAATGTATGTTTGGCATGCGTTTCTCTGGCACCTGTCAAATGTAATTTGATGCTCCAGAACTGGTCTGCCTCAAGTGCTCCCAGTTTGATGGTAGGGAGTGAAGTGGTGGGATGTGCCAACCAGTTTGCTCACCAGGGGAGTTCCATCAGCTTAAACACGTTGGTCACAGAAAGTTCGTTTAGCATTTACCAACTTGCATAATCTGTGGAACCGACTGGCAAGATATTCGACTGCTCGTAAGAGGATAGGATACTGCGTTGCAGTTCGTTCTGTCCTGTTAAATGGATGTAAGACATGGCCGGTAAAAGAAGAAGACATGAATCGATTGAAGTGCTATGATCACAGGTTTTTTTTATAGCATTGTTTGAATAAGGAGGAATCACCGTGTGATCAGTGTTGAGGTCAGACACATGGTACTGGAAAAAACAGGCAAGTCGACTGATGAGATTGTGTAACTTCGTCACCTAAGTTGGCTTGGATATGTGTTACGCATTCCGAAACACCGCCTACTGTGACTTGCAATGCTACGGGAAGTTGCATTAGGTTGGAAGAGGATTCGTGGTGACCACGTCAACATGTGGTACCAGTTCATGAATTCCCTAACTGATGGTCTGAGCTGTATGGAGAGATGTAGACTACCTGATTGGAGATATCGAGACAAAAAAAATCAGTAGTAGAGGACTCTTAGTGACATGGTTTAAAATTGATCTCAGTGACGCAGATGTATTCACAGCCCTGACATCTAAGGCTTAAATATTCGTGCTAACCGTTGTCTTCAGATGTTTTATTCTCTCAGAAAACTTCGACCAATTTGATATCAGTGTTTTTCTATCCACCTGTTTTTTATGCTGATGTGAATTGTGGCAACTTGACCGGATACATTTTTGCGTGAGGTTTAACTTTGATTTTGTCAGTCAGTCAGTCATATACGTAAAGACATGACTTGGAATATTTCTAGTCAGCGATTATTTTATGTTCTTAAAATCTTTCACGTTCTTAAAACTTTTTGAAGTGTCGTCTTACCCAAATTTAAAAATGCGCTAACCAAAGGAGATTACAAGTTAAAAATACCTTAGCTATAATAAGAACGTGGAGTAATAATGATGAAGGCCAGCAATATCTAATCAATATATTCTTGTATTTCATATGGGAAATACCTGGCTATTAAGTTAATGTCTTATCTGTATTTATATCTAATAGGGTTTGTTGACTTGACGCCAAATTATCAGTTACAAAGCTACAGAAAAATAAAATATTTAAAAAATATTTCCCGTTTCCTGAAATGCAAAGTTTACGTTGAAATTTCAGATTACCTTTTATTTTTAAGCTTCTAATGATTTTTAGCTAATAAATGTCAACCAAGATAAACTTTACTATGATAGGTTGAAATAGGAAACGAACTACATCATGGTAAACCATGCTCAAGCGCTACTTTCCATTTGACCACTTTGTATAATTCTGCCGCTTATATATTTGGTATTTTTTCATGGGAAATGGGACAGTACAAACACAGAAGTGGAGTTTGAACATCTAAATCTGTTGTCAGCTAAGGTTATGCTAAATAGCTATGACAGTATGATACATAAGACAAAGTAGATTATTTACTGCTCAAAGCGTGCTTAAATGCAGATGACATTATTGAATTGAGAACATATAATCTTCATAGTTAAATTAGTATCATCGAGGTAGAATCTTGAACTTTTGTTTATTCTTTCTGGAAAGTAATGTTATCCAATAATTAGGTGAAAACTCAGTTACTTTCCTCCACTTGTAGTAATATTTGTTTTGGTACCATTTCACACTGCTTGTTCCACTATGAAGACCTCTGTGAATTGCGATGAGGACCAAGGAGATGCAGTATGACATTCAGCAGGTATTTTATCTCATATAAACCTTAGAACTCTAGAGATTCAATCCGGCTCTGATTGGGGGAATATAAGGGCAAGTTGTTTCAGAATTAGATCGACAATCTTTACAAATTTAGTAATTTTGAGACCTACTTTCATCTTTATTAATTACGGAGAATGTTTGGACCTTCTAATTTCACTAAACTTATAAGTTCAGCTCCTAATTTGCATCGGCAATAAATTTCACGGCTCTATTTGATTATATACCTCTTTGGAATAAAGATGAGTGATAATTGATCATGTTGAAACACATAGTTGAAGGGTAATGAGAATTAGTGTATGTTGCATGGTACCAAATTGTAACGCAGTACTTATTCATTTGTAACAAATAAGAAGATTAACTTGGCTACGCTCGTTACTGAAGCTCAGATGGCCAGAATAATAAGAAAAAGCAACAAGGAACTCTGGCATGGCGACGAACCATCCAAGAACCTATCACTCAAAAAATATGCATAAGTGGAGATGGATTGGGCACACACAGAGAAGGCCGACAGGGGACATCACGCGCCAAGCCTCAAGTCGAACCCAGATGAGAAACGGCCAGTTGGGCGTCCGAGGGTGACATGGAGGAGATCCTGTGAGAAAGAAATGAAAGCTTGTTGGCAGTCGTGGAGCCAGGTTCAAAAGATTGCAGAAAACAGAGTGGAATGGAGACGTGCTACTGAATCCTTATATTCCACTAGGAACCCAAGGGACAAATAATAATAATATAAGAAGATTAACTTACCGTCTGTATCATAATGATTCCAAACTTCAACAAATTGTGCAGCAGTAAAGTGTTTCAGTGAATTAGATTTTGTGTCTCTAAACTGACTCAGAAAGTTTTCTGATGGTGTTTGCGTATTCATTTTGCTTTTTTGTTGTAGTAATAGGTTGGGAGTTAGTTGGAGATATTTATACGATTTTGTTTCACTGTACTACTAATCTAGGGCACAGTGAAAATGATGAATGTTCAATGGTGTTACAAATGACAGTCCCAAGTGATGCAACTCCACGGTCAAATCCAAATGAAATGGGATCTATTTTTCACGTGATTAAGATGATTCGTTTATTCAGTATACTGCAAAAGGGTATATCAGTTTTATTTCTTATATGCTACGATGGTTACACTAGCTCTAAATTGATGAGAATTTCAGGTTACTCACTTTCCTAATACTCTGTATATATATATATATATATATATATATATATATATATATATATATATATATATATGTCTGGTTTTCTCTGCTGTGATGGGTCCATACAAATAACAGTAAGTTATCAACTTGACTAAACTGTGATTGGTTAGAGTGTCATAGTTTATTTTACAAACCCTAACTAGAATTGTTTGTGTAATCCAACTTTGTTCAGCTTAACGAACAGGAATGAATAATTCCTTTTGGCTCTCATCCTTTTTACAGTTTGATCAACGTTATAATAAACTTACATTTTATAACAGTTTATTTGATGTCTGCGAACAGTAATGTAGAGGTGAGGTGCTCTATTTTATTTAGAAATTGTAAATTTGGTGCACATGCATTTTTCAGTGGTCCAACTACCAGTCAACTTCAAAATTCGTAGTTTCTAGTTATTGAGCATTATCCTCTAGGTACGCCTGACTCTTTAAAGTGAAAATCAGTTGTTTCTTGACTTTGTATTCCTGTTCTATGTAACGCACTAGACAGAATTGAAAAACCTTAGTACTGCCATAATTTAGAATTCTGACTTCACCTTTTTGATACAAGTTAACACAGAGTGAAAAACGCATGTTTCATTCCATATTTGCTCAATTCATCCACTTTATGAACACATCTCACTGAAATTCAAATGATTTTGCTTGACGACAACGAAGTCGTTGCCTTTGAGACTTCTGAGTACCACTAGTAACTGGAAAGTTTGAAAAAAGAACTGTTTCTGAAATAACGGAGAATATTTGTAGCTCATGTGGATGGTCTTGGTTTTATTGTGCTCTCTGAGCTGGGTTGTTCAGTCGTGATTAAACAACCCAGCTCAGAGAGCACAACACAACCAAAAACTTCTTCTCTAACAAGACCTCTCCAGCACACTTGATTTTTTCAACTGGGATAAGCTTGATTATTTTTGAAGAATAGCTTACTGTGAAATGTTCTGAAAACTTTCCAACAGGAATGATTCTTATTTCAAGATGGTAGAGAACAAATACACCTCAGGAAAATGATTTATGTAGTATTGAATCCTTTGAGCTTTATAGTTTAACCAGGAAACTTTTTTTCTCATTCTAGACAACATTTGTTTCCAAGGGAAACTATTTAAATGATGGCGAATTTGACAAATATTATACTGTTATGAAAATAAGAATGTCAAATTGACCGTCAGCGGAAAATTAAGTCTTAGAAACGAACATGTGGATTGTCCTTCCATGCATAAGAAATATCTTGGGGATCACAGATAGGCTATCAAAACTTCACAAGTCAACAAAATCTCTTCACTGTACTTTACGTGGACCAAAGGAAAATAAAAAGGGCTTGGAACTCAGGTAAATCAGTAATCAATAGACCACTGACTCAATCTATCAACCAATAACGAACATGAAAAACAACATTTAAGCTATACCTCATGCCAACAGTTCCTAAGAAGCAAATCTTCTTGAAGCTGCAATTTAAGAGTGATATTGCCAGTGAGATCATCACACAACGCATAAAAAGAGTCTCGCACAAAGCAATCCCAGCGGCTAAATTATGTCCCGCCTCCTACAACCGCCCGATTCTAAGTGCAAGAAATAAAGACAAACTGCCTGATTCTGCCACTTCTATGTGCATTTATCAATTCAACTGCCCCTGTGGAGCGAGTTACATTGGGCGTACAATGAGGCAGTTCCATCGTCGAATTTCTGAGCACCACCCATCATGGTTGAACAAGGGACAAATTAGAAGTATAAAGAGCTCCATACTTGCACACTTAGTTGACACAGGACATCAAGTGGTTACTGGAAAAGCCTTCAAAATTACCCATCAGATTCCATTTAATTTACCTCAAGAATTACATACTCGGTTACTTCACATAGCAGAGGCGGTTGCAATCCACCTTTACAAACCTAGCCTTTGTATCCAAAGAACGTTTGTTCGACCACTTTCATTACCGTGGCCGTTAACATGATGTAACTTCTAGGTTTATTTTGTGCACCTCTTCCCCTTCTTGTTTCTATCAATATTCATATTTCCTATTTTAGTAACCCCACTGATTATTTACATCATTATTTCAGAAGTATCACCACGTGGTTGGTAATTTGATTAAATTGTAAGCCTATATATTAGTGTAGAGCTCAAGAAAAAGACCTAATTGAAAAGAAATATATTTCTTCACTCAATCAGTCTTTTTCTAAATGTCTAAATAGGAATATTCAATGAATTGAAATATATGTCGATATGATGATAACTTCATGACAGAAACAACCAATCACATCCAAGTTCATCAGTATACACTACTGAGCCATTTTGTAGAGAATTCTGCGTTCTCACTTCTTTCAAAAATTCGTGCCGATTACGTCGTCTAAAATTATATCGAAAGCTTCACGATTAAACTGTCCAGCTCAAAGAAGATAAAGTTATATAATGGCTTAGTTGTATACATAGGCTTGTACGGTTTTCACTTATACAGTGTAGACTTTGGTGCCAAAGGTGAAAAAGTTATATTAGGCTGAAAAAATCCAATTAAATTGAATTTAACTGGTGAAACAAATGTTCAGCTGAAGAACTGAACACTATAAAATAGGCTTGTGATGTATGGCTATTAAATGTAATCAGCATTTCTACAAGAAGATTACAGTACAACATAATAAAAAAGAGCTAACGAAAAATTACAATTCTCTGGTAAATTACGGAAGCGTTGATGTCGGCGACGCTCATTCAGATAATGAGGAATTACTCTGTGCTACGCCATCAAAGTTTACTGTTTCTAACTAACCAGTTATCATTCAACGATGAGAATATCCATTTAATAACAAGTCTAAAGATTTAAAATGATATACACTAACAGGGTTCACTGATCATTCTTTTTAGTTTTAAACTAGTTGATCACCTTGTGATGGTTTCCTGTGTATTTCTGTGAACAGTTTGTGGTTTCCGCACAATATATGGTTGATATTCACAGTTTATGCAGACGTATAAGTTGCTTACCTTGTCTACCAGTATGAAAAGACAGGCAGATGGTTAACTAAGTCTTTGAATTCGATCAAACACTGGAAATTATTTAATATGTGACCAACTGGCTCAGCAAGTCACAGAAACAGGAGTTTCTGTCTAAATTTTAGAAAGGCTTCTTCTACTTGCTCGACAACTGAACATTTTCCTTTCAACAGAAAACTTGATGTAGCCATTACTTTACTACATGGTCATATCCCTTTCCAGTCAGGTTGGAGAAGTTTTCGGAAAGAAATTATCAGAGAAGTGGAGCTTTCCAGCTGTTACATGGATCACACTAATATAGTCCTCACAAGTGAAGTTGATAACAGGAGGCTCAGATAGCAAGCAATTTCTTCGAAGAAGAGATAAATGGTACCATTGCATTTCCATATCCTTTGCTGGTTGAAATTCCAGATAAGACTTAAAATAGAGTGTATATTAAACGTCATTGGTGCCATACAGCTTCTGTGTGAATAAGATCCAGTAAAGTGCTCACAATGTCATGAAATAATCATTAGTTTAACTAATATCAAAGGAGAAAAATAAACTTTTATTCATAAATTCTCAGTAAAACTGTATGTCCAAATAAACATGTCACCATGCTTGTGAATAAGGCTAAGACGTTTACACAACATAATTACGGTTTCCAAGAGACCAGTTTTTCTAAAACACAATAGAGGTTTGCCATCATCAGTGAGAATCTGATGCAAGGGTCAACTAGACCCTCTGAAAAGAGTATTTCCTGCTGCGTAATTGTGTTGCATCTGATAAAAGTAACCAATCTTGACATCGAAAAGCTAGGATAACATTCCTGACTCCTCTTACTCCATGTTAACTTCCTGCAATACTTGTCTTTTATATTCTGTATCAAGGCATGAGTATTTCATTACATAAACAGAGTGAGGTGGGGAATTCTGGGGAATTTCACCGTTCATATAGATGATGGTGCTCTTCAATACGTTTGATGTCCTGTAGAAAACTCAGATACTGAATTTTTCCAGCAGCAACTCAATCTTATATGACGTAAATGAACTGTATGCAATGATTAATATAGTTATCCATGCTTTCGGAGTACTTTTTCAATCTAGCTTCTTATTTCCAAATTTTAGAACGAAGTTTACGCGTCAGTTCTTCACTTCTAACATTCAAGGGTGTCAACTGTAAATCGTATCACAATTAATCTGTGCGAAACCAACTTTGAAGCCTTTCACATCCTCTCTTAAATTACACAGAAAATCCCCCATCTCATGAAAACCTCAACTAAAGCAGAGACAGTAACAACCCGTTGTACTGTATTTGAGCATTTATAAGCGTTATAGTCAAAGAGATCCTAAGTTTGGCTGCATCAACAACGAATAATTAACGAACAGCTGTGACAGGGCTTACGAGGACAAATAATCCATACACAAAAGTATCACTCGAATGTAATCACAGTTTAATGTTCAAATTACTCTTGATAATTAAGCAAGCCCAATACCTGTTATAACATCGCCTGATTAACTAGTACACTAGTTACTAGTCGGTCCTAAGCCCCGATAAAAAGGTAAGCTTGGGTATACGGGTACAAAACCCAATCCGTAAAAGACAACCAACCGCAACAGAAACTTCAAAGCATAAACTAAACATAAAACATAAGAACAAACGTATTCCTCGCTGGAATCAGAGAGACGAAATGATGCCGGTTGGTGAGAGCCTTCAGGAAGCAAATTGGCCGATGTGTCTTCTCTCTCTCGATGAAAGCGAAAATAAACATGAGGACATGGAATGTCCGCACTATGTTTGAACCTAGCAAGGCTGCTCAGATTGCAAAGGAGATGAGAAATTACAGCACAGAAGTGCTAGTGATCTGCGGAAGTAGATGAATAGTAGTGAACTCTCCAAACGGTCAACTGCAGAGGAGTCAATAATCTACTCCGATATTGTCACTCAGACGACAACCACAAGCACACTGAGTTTTGAAGTGCTTATCATGATGTCCCCAGCAACATCGAAGGTTCTCATGCAGTGGGAAC